GGTACATCGTTCATATACACATAAAATCGAGTACATAAAAAAATAAAAAATTCGCCGAGTAAAAGTCGTCGAATTCCTGTATACAATGTACAAATTATAATATGATTATCATATAATTATATTATGACGTTATAATTGTTATTGATCTAATAATGCGATTCGGGTATAAGATAATATTTTAGTATATATAAATACCAAACGTATCGACGATTGTAATTTGCATGTATAGTTCACTCGTAACATAATATACCATATATAGTAACATTATAATGTATRTATAATATTGCTAAAGYGCAATAGCTGCAGGTGTACAGCTGCAGCAGTTGTAAAATGCAGTAATATAGTAACACGCTGCTGCAGTGTAAGTCTGACATTTGGCAATAACAATTCGGGGACATTGCGTATTATGGTCCCACACAGGTTTTGTGCTTACACAAGCGTGTATATAGGTAGGTACACGCATTTTGTCTGAACAACGAGTATCTACTGCAGTTAGAAGAGAATAAATATTGTAGTGAAAGAGAAAAAAAATCATARGCCAATCATAATAATTACATATTGTATTCGATGTGGAGGTAAACCGCACTCGGCCGTAATATCCGAGCCGACAAGCCGAGACACGCGAGAAATGCGTTTATTGTTTATATTATTTTATTGATGAGTAAAGATCACGCAAGTGCCATCGAATGCGATGAACACAGTTAGGTTTCGAACCACATAGATATACTATATATGACATCATATAAACTATATAAMTAGTACTTATATATACCTATAGTTATTGCGTTGTACATCTGCAGTGCATATAATATAGGCAATAAACAATTTATGATGTTTAATAATATTTACTATACCTAATAGGAATACTTCTGAGAAATCAATTTAGTGCGTGACAAACTCATACACGAACCTCGTTACCAAAATTACAGAAACTGAAAACGACAAAATCAGTATATGTATATAGTAGTAGCAAAAGGATTTTTACTTAACATTTTTGAATATTATTACATCGGAAAAGGTAAAATGTTATATTATTACGTTATATATGATCTACATTTTTTGTACGTACGTACATATCAATAATAATGGGTTACAAAAAACCTCAGCGTGATGCGTCTCGACCACCGCAAACTCCATCGTGCCAGAGATTCGCAAATAGGTTATACAAAATATTATGTATTTTTTTTTACATATTGTGATCCGCGGTGCATAAGATATTGAGATTTAAATAATTTTACAATTGTATATTCATAACATTATATGTGCTGGTGAATTGAAAAAAAAAATAGATAAATAAATGAAATTAGGTATGGAGGTACATTTTATGTGGCGTTTTTTGCAGTAATTTGCATTGCACCTACCTATAACAAAAGAAAGAAAAGAAGAAAACTGCAGAAATTAAATAATTTTAGAGTTTGATTGCAGTTCACTTCTGGCGATTACTATACTGGGCGACATGACGTGTTGGCATGTAACATTCAAATGAACCAAAGTTTTTTTTTCGGCAAATCGAAGATACATTTTTCTATTAAAACCCTGAAATGAGCCTTTTCATTATTGCAGATCTACGCTGAAAATCATTGCAGGATTATGTGTATTTATTATTGGCTCAAGAAGAATCTGACGATTGGTGTAAGTCAATTTATTCTGATTTGAACACCAAAAGTATATATGCATAATAAGGTACATAACACGTTTTTCAACCTTTTTTCCGCTACCTATATACCGAATTTCTTCGATAGAAATAATTTTCAGGAAAAAATAACTACCGCAAGTGGTTTTTTGTTTTACCTGTTTAAAACTGGTTTGCTTTAAATTTCGATTTGAATCTACGACAAAAAATATATAACTTCGCGGCACGCACTACACCCCTAGCTGTATAGTAWACGTTTACATTTTATGCTTTATAAAAACTAATTCTCGAGATTATTATTTTTCCCATGATTAATTGATATTCATTTTGCATTCCGTCCAAACCGAAACTGCAGTACGAAACACGCACAACCTAACCTATATGTTATTGTTTCGGCCTATGATAATAATTATTGTGTACATATATAGTTTGAGACGTTTAAGTCTCCCGTTTGAGACGTGTTTAACGTTTAAGTTTCTCCGCGAGCCGTTTGCAGTGCTCCTTATTATTAGGCCGACATTCTCGCGGCGTAAAAATGTATTATTATGTCGCATCAATTATATAATATCAGCTGCCTAGTAAGTGTTATGTAAAATTTTTTATAATATATATTTTGCCGATTCAACCTAGTTATTTCGTTTCACAGCTGATGGTTTAAGTTTAAATTTAACTCGTAAAGTTTTTTTTTTCTTATTCCAGTCGTATTGCAGACGTGTGCAGGTTTTGTATACAATGCTCGTTATTATATATTGTCTGGACATTATTGTTATTTATAAAACCGATTTGAGCCCTAAAAGACTCGAACGAAACGAAATATTARATGATCAACTAGCTAGCTATACCGAGAATGATTTTTATATTTTGCAACACATGACGGTATATGTATAATCACGTGTGCTGCAATATTAAGGACATCACAATTGATTCTATATCAATTATTCCATACTTTTTATACTCACCAATAATATAATATATATATGTATATATATATAGGTAATTAACTTGCAGTCACATGTTATGGTCCGTTCGGTTTTTAGGTAGCATCTATATGCACGTTTCGTAATAATTCACATACATACGTATATATAATATATATAAGGTAACAAGCCGTAAATGGTATTTACGTATTCGTCGTGCCCAATTATATTAGTGAATTGCATTATTTTTAATACGCAGGCACATAGTAAATATATACGTAGGTTATRTACATATACAGCAGATATACATATATACGTCAAACATGTTCGGCGCTTACCTGCAGTCACCATCATCATCATGTTCCCCGCCTTTTTATAATATAATAAATGTATAAAAATTCTGATGTTTGGAACTTCTAGTTTACCCAAAATGTCCGCAAGAATACTTGAATTCTTTATACCRTTTAAGCTGCAGTGCCATGTGACGGTGAAAACTTATTTTTTCAAATTTGAATCACTCTTTTATCATCGAAGGAAATTTACGAAATTGGGATGGTGAGCGTCATATGTATATGATTAGTGCATCTCTGGAATTTTTTTTATTAAAAATTAGACTATATACACTATATAACTAGTACATAATATACGTACATAGGCGCAAATAGGGGGGGGGCTAGGGGGCATTAGCACCCTCAAATAATGATCGTGCTTATCGCTTATTATGTATCAAAAACTTCTTCTTTCAAAAAAAAAAAAAAACAAACTAAAATGACAAAATGCATAGCATAAGAACCCTTAGTTTTTTTTTTATTGAAATTGCACCTATGTATGTATACGTATTTACTGTGTATAAATACTTTTTGATTTCACACTTTTTTTTTATCAACTTGTAATAATTTTCCTTATAAAATTGAAAACCAAATACCATATAAGAAAGATGTCAGTGAAAAATTGTATAATATTTTATTTAACATATTTTTAATAACAGCATTTCTATATTAAGTCATACACAATGATGATAATAATAATAATAATAATATTAATCAATAAAATTCTATAATAGAAAATAATACCATTCTTTGTATAAGCATAAAAATGGCACGCTATCCCTACTCGTTACATCAGTCGTCGATTCAATAATAATAATAATAATAATAATAATAATTTATATTTATGTGCAGTAGGTACGACCGGCTATTAACGCTCATTTTCGTTTCAACCGCGGAGACTTAAACAGCCACACGAAAATATCGTTTTACAAATTATAGGCAAATAACGATATTCTCGGTTTCGTTTTTAAGTGCGACCGTCCGTGGTAAATGTTACGACGAATGCTTTTTTTTTTCAGTCGATCATTTTACCACGTCGTCGTTTGGAAATATTAAATAATCTCTTATGGTCCACATACCTACTGGTGTTAGGGTAAATGCCAAGAGATATTTTTTAAATGTTTTTTTTTTTAACAAATAAAAATAAGTATTCACCGGGTCCATACTTTACATAATATGCGTTTTAATGTCATTACATTGTACCTACATATAATATTAGCATTGATTATAGAATATTCTATAATCAATGATATTAGCCACAAACGATTATTATTGAATTAAGTAATTATTATCTCTCAACGTGTACACTGTACATATAATATATATATATATATATCTATATGACGTATTAACACGTCAAATCAATAATTATTGTTAAAAAAAAAAAAGTAGTAATAATAAAAATTAAAAAATAAGAAGATTATTGAGCAAAATCGTATTTAAATAAAATATCTATTTTTTAATACGTGTCATAATAATGTTATTATAATATCTACAAAAGAAAATGTTGTACACCAGAGCAAGAAAAATTATGTACGGGCATTAGCTGTAATAAGACAATAAAACACGTGTCGGACAAACAAAACGTACCTATATAGCTATTACAAATTTTCCTTTTTTTTTCTGCTATCCAACACACTATAATTTCATAACAAATAATACAATAAAAGTCGTGTCAGACATTATTTCGTATATACATAAAAAAAAAAAAATAATAATAATAATAATTAAGTATATATTATTTAACGTAAAACTGAAATATTATGGTGTCGGGTCGAGTTCATATTTTGTGTAATACACGTAAGACCTTCTCTCTGATAAAAAAAACCATGAAAAAAGCCAATACAATGACATACACATACGATCGTATATATAGGTAGTATTTTTTTTATGACACGAGTGGGCTACCAACGAGTATTTCGTAACGGCGACCAAACAAAATGCCTGTGAGTTCACTCACTATACATAAATTAATATAACATGTACAACATGACGATAGTCGTATATTCAAGGTGTATTTTTTTTTTTTTTTTATCGTTTCTATAAATAAAATAATATAGGTAATAATAATCTTACTACGCTAAAATGAATTAAAAATAATTAATAACATATTAAAAAGAAAAAAAACTGTTCTGTTCTTGTCTGCAGGAGTATATAATAATAGTCGTGTAGAGTAATATAATATAATATGTGTTGTATGTCCGCTCGGCCAATTCTCTCGTCAAAGAAAACTGAAACAAAAAAAAAAAAAAAATATTAAATTAAATTAAAAACCATTAATTGTGATATTTTCATTAATCGGTATGGCGGTCGGAGACCAATTAGCGTGCATTGTTTTGGGCGTCGACGGTATTGTTATTTTACTTTTTAATGTTAAGCAATACGAATTAATTATAATGTGAGAACGTTCCCAAACAATTATCTCCCTTTTTCGGATACTGAAAACCTCACAAGCACAAATAATGTAAAAAAAGTTTAACGAGCATTATATTATAATATACTTTAGGCACCTATAATACGGCTGTATACTATAAATTAAAATACTCCATTATAATATTATAAGCTCGTATACAGCGAATGCAATGTAGGTATATCAGCTGTCCTCGCCGACACACGCGTCGACGTGTATACAGAACGATTATAATTTTTTTACAGCAAGAAATCGTCATATCGACATTTTCGTTTCTGGTAATATTTAAAACGCAGTAGCTGGTACTATGTCAACATTTAAGTTAATATGTTATAAATAATACGCTGCGGTAATAATTGTATTCTGCACAAGCGCACAATATCGTTTGTTGCTGAACTACTATACGTAAATTAACTCGTGATTTTTAAACGCCAAAACCTTTTCCAAAATGGGAACCCAGCGAAACAATCGATCCTTTTATAAAGAAAAAAAAACTATACTCGTTCAATATTCACTTTATTCAGGTTCTATATACTATTACTAAGGAAGTGTATTCGTAAAAATAAGTAGCTCAATTTTTGCTGATTATGAAATCGAAAATTTGAGTTTTCATTGTTTTCAAGTCAAAAGTTGAAATTTTTGAAATTTTTTCCGTGTCGAWAACAGAATATAGAAAAATTATTTCGTCGTTTAAAACTTGATGCATATATTATATACATAATATTATACATAATGCCTACATATATGTGAATGATGCGTGTCATTGCAGGCTAATGGCGAATTATTCCATATAGGCATATGTATTCTCGCTATGTATATATATTCTCCTCTATATACTTCTTCGTGCATATATGTATATACTTCCATTGTATTTCATGTAGAGTACACGAAACTCATATAACGGTAATGATAAGAAATATTTTTCTGTATATAATTAATACATTTTAATACACATTTTCAGTAACAACCATAACATCTTCTCACGGAATAATGCAGCCAATAATTGTATGATTTTTGTTCAACGTGTACTTACAGAGAACAKGTATTTATAATTCTGTGGTTTTGGGTTTCGGGTTAAAAAAAGAAATGTTCAAATTTTTTTTCCGAGTTACTTATGCACAGTTTTTGTGTCCAAAAAGTTTCAACGCGTTTTGTCGCTCAGATTTCAAGCAAAAACAATCATAATATAATATTATCTTACATTGTCCAACAAATAAAATGCCCTCCTGTTGCGCTCTCGCCAATCGTGTAAATTGTAAACGCGCAGGCTATTAAAACGTAAATATTATAAATTTATAAACATTTAAATTTTAAGTGCGATACGTGTGTGTGTGTGAATTGAGCGCATAAACGAAACGAAAACGACCGCAAAATAGTTTAGTGGGTGGCGACAGAGGCGTTGCAGTTATATTCGTTTGGAATCGAAAATGGCAACGCATAAAAACATACAAAGTATAGCTTATGCATATATATMAAAACAATCGTAAAAATAATATCATTGTGTTGTGTAATTTACGTACAACCTATATAAATATAATAATGTTTACAATTAAACGCCCGCGCGTATACAATATATGTGTGCAGRAATTTAAAATTTACTACGAGCGTATATGTACACCGCGAATTGCGCAAAACGATATTACTTCGATTCGRAATAATAATAACGACGAGTGCGATATACACAYTAAGTATAATATTATAATAAGGTACGCGAAGGCGCAGAGGGTGCAGACCGACGAAAGTAGGCTAAAATAATAATACGATATAATACATAATCGTCCTCGTCGTATATGTATAAATATAATACAACTAATAATAATAATAATAATAATAATAATACGGAGACACGCGGGTGGGCGAGCGTGCACGCGTTACTTGCAGTAAATGCATAATAATAATATATGTATATAATAATATGTCATATTGTATACCTATATAGTTCATTGTTTTGCGACGCCCGTCCGAGATCTCGGACAATATACGTCATGATAATACGACAGCGGAGCATACTTAACGATATATGATATAATATAGTGTAATTATTATATTGCGAWATATTTTATTACGTTATAATAGTTTTGAAACGCCGCCGAAATCCGACGCGAGAAGTGCAACGAAAAATCAATCCGGAAATGTCGATTCCACACATCGAACATTAAAATAATATGCGACGACCGCAATACAATATTATTGCAGTGTAGCTGTGACAGTTAAATAATTGGTAGATATGTATAAAACGTTTTATTTTTTTACATTAATTTTCTGCAGCTGTGTCTTTGACAGAGTCTTCGTCCATCTGCACCCACACGAGTTGTGGTCACATCACGCGTCTATTGTCGTCGATCCGATTGCAGCGTATCTATAAGTCGATCGAATTTTTGATAATTTCGCAGACCAGCCGCTCTTCGTAAGAATACTGCAGCTTGTTACAATTAAGTGTACATCATGATATCATGCACTTTGCAGCTCGATTATTTTTTGCCTCCTTCAAACCGCATCGACTTTTGAATCGACGATGATGCGCGTCACCCAATAAGTCAGGTTTTTATTTACATATTAGATATTATGTTGATTTGCATTAAGTTAAAATAATATTGCGAACGYGGAGGTAATGCGCTGCAGYGAAGGAATRACGTTGCGCAAGACCATAATCTTATRGTGTACTATCRATGTACATATATCTATATGCATAACATACCGCGGTGACCTTAATCGTTATTGTTTTTACAATAGACCGAAAACCGGGAAAAGTTAATAATTTCATTTTTTTTTTTATTGTAATTCGGCATAATGCAACATTATAATCATCATCATGCGCGCTACAAACGTTGAGAAATCAAATTATGCGACTGGCCCACAAACGTTGCAGGCGAGTGATATCGTCGGGTGTCCGAGTCCGAGTGTAGGTAGAGGTATATATGTTATAAATTATAACCGAAAATAAACGCAGTAAACTTGTACCGCGGTTAGCGATGGTCATCGTCATAACGGTGCAGAACATCGGATTTCGAACAAGCATATAATATGTATAGTTARTTGTTTTAGCATTTAAAAAGTTTAAATGAGCGGCGGAGTGGTGGACCGTAACCATAGCAGCCCACTAAAATTTCAACTATTTGACATAATTATATTCGTTTGAAATTCGATTGTTAATTATTGAATTTTATTTTCTGAACGATTTTCGTTAAGAAATATGAAACGGTAATGAGGGTTTAAAAATGTCGAGAACTGCACACACACACACACACTACGAACCGTTGTTTTTTGCTACATGATGGTTTTTAACGAGTCGTCATTATAATATAAATATTTTATCGAGAATTTTAGATTTTAGTTTTTTTTTTAAAATGATATTCGTGAAATAACGGCGTTTACCGTTAAACGCGGTTGCCGCGACCTGGCGCGTGCTCAGAGTCACACAAACAAACTATGTACATACAATTATATGGGCATGAACGCATGATGCATATATATATATCATAAAATTATGTGACCAAATAAATTATAATATTGTGCAGTTATATTATGTGGGTATACGAGCGCGACGACCGTTTTTTGACGGGTATTTAACGTTTACGAAAGAGAACGTGGGAAAGTCGTTTACATAACGCACGGATCGCATACAATTTATAGGAAGGTATGGGTAGGTATATACACCAATAATCGTATATACAAATTAGATATATATATATATATATTACTTACATTAAATGCGAGTCTTTTTATTATAATGTATAATATATTATATATGGCTCTCCATTTACGATAGTACGTAGGTATATATGTATATATAATGTTTACATTTACGAGGTATATAAATATAATATATAGAGCGACTATATGTCTATATATATTATAATTCTCGACGCATTATAGCGCACTGCGCCACCTCATATAAATCGTCGCCCACGATGATTTATAATAATAATAATATTATGTGTTTCGTATAAATCTTCAAATGATCATAACATTTTGTCGACATTACAGATGATGCGATACATATACATTATGCATATATACAATATTATATACAGTCGCCACGTCCCGTCCGTTGGCGTGTGTATTATAGTTGCACCGAAAACCACTCTCATATTATAATAATAATTATAATATGAAAAATGATTAGTAACGATGACGATCACGTCGAATACTCTATATATATCTATGTTATATACAGTTATATACATTTCGTATGCATTTACCGATGCCGATAATAATGATATATATATATATTATACGACTTGGCCGGAGGACACTATCCTTGCGGTCATTTCGGTCGGTATATATATAATACTCGTATAAACAATGACGAGTCCCGATWCAATATTATTATAAACCGTAAAAATTACCGTTCGACGTCATCTATATATATATATATATTTATTATATTATATCAATAAGACGTGAAATAATTACAATGCGTACTCGTCGATAGCGATCGAATTAACGGCGGCGGCAACGACGTGCGCAAACACGCATTTTTATTTATTTTTTTAAATAAATCGCCAACCTAAGTAGCATATAGATAATAATTATTATAAAWGTACCAAGCGGAAATGAGGAATTTTTCAATCCGCGACTACAAACTCAAAACGCTCATCGCATCCATGGCTGTTATATATATAATGGGTACGACCATCATCATATAGACGGAAACGATTAATAATATATTTATATCGTCGCGGTCACTCGAACGGCCGATTGGTACCTATATGAACTTGTGCAGAGATTATATTATAGTTAAGTCGCACACACGCAGACGTGCTGCAGCGGCGATGATAATTTTATTACGAATTCGAATTTTCATTATTTACGTTCCAT